TCTATCTATCTATCTATCTATCTATCTATCTATCTATCTATCTATCTGTTACAGTATGGAACTGGTGTTGTAGTTGAATGATAAACCCTCTTTTTGTAAGTCGCTTTGGATAAAAAGGTCATGCATGAATGTAAATTATCTTCTTTTTTCTTCCAAACTATACTTCCATTGAGATAAATAAAAATAAACACTAATTTTAAAAAAATTATACGTCCCTGGGTGGGCTCGAACCACCAACCTTTCGGTTAACAGCCGAACGCGCTAACCGATTGCGCCACAGAGACGATGCACCCCGTTAGTAGCCACGTGGTTTACAAACCCGGAAACATAGCGGTAATCTGAGCCGTTATCACCATTTTCCGGACGTTGATTGTTGATTCGATGATCTAATAGTGATGTCATCGCCCGGCTAGCTCAGTCGGTAGAGCATGAGACTCTTAATCTCAGGGTCGTGGGTTCGAGCCCCACGTTGGGCGAATAACTTTTGTTTACTATCTTTATGTTTATGTTTGTTTGATTCTTATGAGTAATATCTCATATTAGGATAACATCTACACCACATTACAAAATACGGAACACTGTTACAGTAAAAAAAATATAGGGGCAACCTTTTGCCCCTACAATCTCACTTTTCTGCAGAAACCGAGATTTTTTCACGGTATTCTGACAGCTGCCCTTGGAGTAGAAACCTGAGAAACCTTAGAAAACCTATGTTTTAAGATAAGATAAGATCACACATCAGTTTAGTGTTTAAAGAAGGTGCAAACAAGGGGGAAAAGGTGCATAAAGTATAAACAATAAAAATAAATAAAAGTACAAGAGAGTAACAGAGATTTGAGTAACATATGTACAAGCAGGATGGTTTATATACAGTAAACATATTGCACAGGTCAATAAGTATAATATAATTAAGGCATGGGTGTCAAACTCTAGCCCAAGTTGTAATTATATTATTTACCAAATTACTACGAGAGCTGGCCCCCGGTATTATACTGTACAGACCATTAACGGCTCATACTACAACTCCCATAATGCCCTGCTGTTGTCCAGGACAGGACCCAGAAACTCCTCTGTGACAGTAAGTCCACACTACAGCTGTCACTGTGCTGCTTCCCAAAAATGACCAAAAGAAAGGCAGGAAACAGGAGTTTTCTAGACAAGCATATTTTATTTTGATATTTAATTCAGAAGGCTGCGAATAGAAAAACGTTTTCAATTTTTATTTCATAAATGAATGCCATTGATTTTTTATTATTTGGAATTTGATTTTGCATGTCTCCACTATTAAGTTATATATATAATGTAATAAGAGTTGCTTGTTCCATATTCAATGTTAAAGCAAAATTTTAGATTTTAGATTTTGGGCCACTGTGTTTTTGAGTGACAGCCCTGTTTAAAGGCATTAGCATAACATTTATCCCTCTGTTTTAAGGTATTAGCCTAATATTTACACCTCTGTTTTAGGGTAGTAGCACAACATTTACACCTCTGTTTTAAGGCATTATCATAACATTTACGGTAAAAACTTAAAGTAATACTATTGTTAAGAAAGCAACATTTTTTTAGCGGATTAAAGTCTATTTTCTTTTTCCCTCCAATGTGTTTAAATTGAAATTTTTCAAATAATCTTTTTTTTTTTAACGTTTTTTAAAAACATTACGTCCCTGGGTGGGCTCGAACCACCAACCTTTCGGTTAACAGCCGAACGCGCTAACCGATTGCGCCACAGAGACGATGCACTCCACGAGGGGACTATTTTGTCAGAAACCTCCTCCCACGAAAACCGGACCCCGATATGATAGATAAAACCGTGTCCCCGTGTGGGGTGGAAGCCAGATCCTTCAGGCTAAAATGGGAAAAATAGCCCGGCTAGCTCAGTCGGTAGAGCATGAGACTCTTAATCTCAGGGTCGTGGGTTCGAGCCCCACGTTGGGCGCAACATTTTAACTATAATAGGGGGTTTTAATCTCACCCTTCTACAACCAGAGTTAGATAGATAGATACTTTATTGATCCCCAAGGGGAAACTCAAGACTCATTCCCAACTGTGAACAGCAGGAAAACTTACAAGAAGACTTCTCCCATTCACAAAGGAAGGTTTCAATCTCACTCTTCTACAACCAGAGTTAGATAGATAGATAGATAGATAGATAGATAGATAGATAGATAGATAGATAGATAGATAGAAACTTTATTGATTGAAATTCAAGACTCCTTCCCAGCTGTGAACTGCAGGGAAACCTGCCAGGAGACTCCCCCCATTCACTGCTGGAAGTTAGCCTAGTCATTTGTTTGGTTTCACTTTTATAAATGTCCACACGCACCTCTAACTGCCGCCCTATGGCCCGTTTGTGTTTGCGTATTGTGTCTTCTTAGTTCATAACAAAGAAAACCCAAACCTAGGAGCTGTTTGTCAATCTTAAAGCGAACATTAGCAGCTAGCTTTCTTATGTCGTCTCCTCTGGACTTCCAACACAATGCCAGCCAGCCAGCAACTGAACGTTAAGTCAAAGGTCAAAGGTCCCAAAGGTCCCTCTCCAGGAAGTTGTCGAGGAGTTTTTTTTTGTTCTTCCCCACTATAGAATCCAACTTTTATAGAGGTCCACATGCACCTCTGAAATGTGGACAAAGGGGCCCATTTCATTT